ACCACGTGATGGGCCTCTGAGTGGTGTTTCTTGCGGTGCGTTTGAGGACTGTTTGCTTTACAACAAGAGATCTTATTTCCCATTATAACGATCAACACATAAATGACTGATTGATTGCTAGTTGTATTCAATTGACTCAAAATTAATGTGTAATCAAACGCTTGGCTCACAATTGGGTAGACTTTTGATTGACAACTAATCGTAAGATTCATAAGAAGTATATATTATTATAATTCATGTATTAATTAATATCTATTAATATAAGCGTCGAGTTTGTCATTAAAACTATGAATAAAAGTGTAAATAAAATAATATATCATTTGTTTCACTCAATTGACACATAAATTGAGTGTTAATTTTGGCGTTAATTGAGTTGACGTTAAATATATGAACATTCATTCAAATGACAATTCACTGCACTTTCACCACATGTTTGTCAAAACATTTAATAATTAATTAGTAGTCAATAATCCAATGGTTTTACGAGTAAACCAATCACACCATCAATAGGTGTGTCAGTGGTTCACAAGGGATACAAAGCGATGATCACTTGTGGATCAAATGAGTGATAACTGTTTGGACACTCACTGAATGGTATGACAACTGCATCGATGTATGCATTATAATGGTATTCATGTCACTCCTATGCCATCGCTATCTATACTATTGTTTATTATTGTTATTATTACTCATTCATAGCATCGATGGCAACCCTTTTGCCACTAATCGCATGTAATATGCAATCAAATCATGTTTGCATTCATTTTGTATCTAAACTAATGACACTTCAACTCAATTAGTCTTTCATAGTATTCATAGTATTGATAGTCTGTCAACATTTCAGTCATTCATTCATTCACTGAATTCATTGATTTGCGATAAATTGTGTGCAAAAAACCGGTATTATATTCAGTGAACCTATCGGTGCGCAAAGAGACCTCTATTTGTGACGACAATCACTGCTTTCATCACATGTTTTATGGCTTTTAAAGTCTTGTTTTCAAAGCAATTCACTGGAAGTGTTAATCACTTCCTAATCATATCTGTGACCAAATCCATCACAATTGATGTGTTTATTATCTGCACACAAATTACATGCCATTTGTTTGGACGCAATGTTAAGGAAATGTTTCAGACTCTTAGCCATTAATAATCGTCACTTGAGTTCACAGATCAGTGTTAAGACCAGCGAAGATGTGACTAAACGTAGTGATGGGAGAGCCGTGTCTGCGGCAGAGGGTCTTCAACACAAGACTTTGACACAACAGGAGAGGCAGGAATTGGCGAAAGTCATCAAAAGTCCCGTTCATATGGACTCGTATTGGGAGATGAAGTTGGAGGAGAAGATCCCGCAGAAGGTGAAGTGGTTGGACTCAAAGGGAGGCCTTTCCGTCGACCTCTTGGCCGCAATGGCCCACAAGTTTGACTTCTCTCTGCAGGGCATCAAACGGCGACTCCGCTATTGGATTGCCTTCAGAGAGATTTATAACCAGAGGTATATCGCCAGAAGACATGCCATATTAGGTCTGTTTGTCACCACAACCTTATGAATCAGTTTAATGATTGATACGTTATGTCCGATTAGGTCCCGAGTTGGCGGTCTCTCACTTTGTGGTCTACAGGGGCGGCAAAGTTAGATTCAGACGTATTTACCATTCATTAAATGTTGTGATAATATAG